TGCACTCGGCACAAGTATTATATTGGTCATTATTTTGTTATTGATGAAAATTGTGTTGCAATAATTATTGACAATATGTTACTGCTCAGCCGTGTGGCTGTTTTTAAATATTTCTCTCTACTGTCAAATTCCTGAATTGGAGTCTTATTTTCGTCTAATTAAAAATCATTTTTCAGTTGATCTTAAGTGTAAAATAAAGGAAGTCGTTTCCTTTAACCCACTAAACTAACCAGGTCTTCTCAATATGTTTTTAACTAAATGGCTTTCGACATATGATCCCTGTGAGCAGCAGGGAAACCCACTGTCTCTCCTGCCGAGTAATTACAGGTGTGTCCACACAAACACAAGCTTAATGAGATTAGTTCCTGACGTGGTTCAACACAAAGGAGCCTGTGACCGAAGACGTGCGACGGAACCCCCTCTACTGAGATGTGTGCATGCAATATTGATCAGGGGTTAATGAGGGTCGATCTCACAACAGAGACTCTTTACTACCCTTAAACCCGATGCGGCAGTTCCCTCTGTGTTATTCTAACATGCTCTTGAGCAGCTGACATACTCTGACATTCTTTATTTGTTTTGTTTTTAGCTTTCTGCACATCCACTTTGGAAACCCACTCTCCTTTTTCTACGATGGCTGCGGTAAGTCTGTTCCCAGGACTGTTTTCCCACCTGCTCCGCAGTATCCAACTGCATTTGCATTTACTAGTTGCATAAGTAAAGATCCAGCACTGGACAATGGACTCTTTTATGTTGCCTTGCTTTGCTATTGAGTATTATAATATCTTGTAAATAATAGTTTATTTGACTTTAAACAGACTCAAATTATGCTCTAAAATTCAAATCAATGTTATGTTTAAGTTTGCATTTCATCTAAATGTTACTCATGGTATGAATGGGTTTGACCTATTTATTGATGCAAAGGTCTTAAAGCTAGAGATCTTTTTGATCATTAAAACTTTAACTAAAATGACCAAACTGTAGTTGTGGAGATTGTTTTCCTAATATGTGTATGAATGAAACCAAAACATGCTTCTTAAAATGGTGAAATCATTCAGTCATATTTTTTCTAAAATAGTTGTTTTGATTAAATAAACAATTTAAAATTCTTAAAAACACTTCTGTCTAACTGAAGAAAGAAAAATCTATTTGCCATCAAAAAATATATCTGTATTCAATTTTTCTCCTTCAATGAAAAGTTCAAAATTACATATCAGACAATTTTCAGAACAGGAAGCCTCATATATAAGCAAGTGTCTAACTTTAACAGATGGTTGTGAAAATAGCCTTTGAGTGTCAAACTCTGCTCATACTGTGCTTCATTCATTCACCACAGTGACGCTGTGTGAAGTTCTCAGTGCGACTTTGTGTGTTTATATTTGTCGTGGTTGTAACAATGCTATTTTAAATGATTTACAACCAGATTGGAAACCGAGGAACAGTGACTGAGGCATCTGGTTTCGACCCAGAAGCAGATGCCCAGAGGCTCAGAGGAGCCATGAAGGGAGCTGGTGAGTGACCCGGCCCGTCACACAGAAAGAAACCATCATTCATAAACACATGTCTTACTCTGCCCTCAGCCCCAGAGGAGGAAAATATAATCATTCTCTGATTTTTTCAGTTTCTCTTCTCCTTTCCAGGAAAGTTGAGACTAAATGCAGAGTTGCTCAGTGTTGTCATGGCAACTTTAATTGTTCTGGAGTTCATATTTTTGTGTGAGCGAGTGTGTCCTCTCACTTTTTCCTCACTACATCGTGCTGTAACGATTCCTTTTAACCTCTTAAATGGAGGTTACATTAATCCAGACATGAGATCGTGAGACTTTAAGTTCTGATCCGCTTAAGATGCCTGAACTTGGACATCCCCTGTATCTGATATGGAAACCAGAATATGCACTTCTCCATCATTATTCACATTGTTCTTTTGTGAGGCTGCAGTAAACCACACCATATTTGATTTAAATGTATTCTCAAGCATTTTATTTGAGCTCTAGTTTAAGCAGGTTACATGCTGTAGCAACTGCTTTCACCCTTTCACTCATGAATCATGACAACTCAGGCAGGATTTTTTAATGTGTTTTTTTTAATTATTATTTCAGCATGAAAATAAAATTCTATATTATGTGTAACTATAAAACAAACTGTATGTTTCATGCTTTTAAACTAATGTGTTCACATATATAGAAATACCGTTCAGTGCAATGTAAACACATTGAATCTTGCTCCTGACTCCTCAGCCTCTCCCCTTCTCCTCCCTCCCTCCATACGGTGACTCCTCAGCTCCTTCCTACCTCCGACTGTTGAACTATACAGAAAAAATTAAATATAATGAAATGAAATGAAATCGTTATAGAATTGTCTAATTGCTAATGAAATCATTTTGCTGAAGCATTTTCCAATGGGAAAAAAAAGCATTATTATATATTTAACATTCATAAAAATGTCAGACTATGGAATCAAGATCTGACAAGTGAATCACCTCAGAATCAGCACCCAATAACGATATTGGATCACATCAGTCCCAACTCTGGGTACATCCTAGCAAACATTCCGTGTCTCAGTCACATTTTCTCTCTAGCAGCACATTATGTGGTGTGGACTCTAATCCTGTTTAGGTTTACAAGCATAATATTCTCCCCCTGACTCTAGTTTGAGCTCTATTGCAAACAGATGGTTTCTACATCGATGCCAACAAACAGTGTGTCAGGATCATCCCCGGGGTTGCAATGCTGCAAATAAATGGATATGTGAAGCTTACAATTTTAAGAAATGTTAAATAGAAAGATAGATAGCAAACAAAGTTTTGACTTTTGTGATATTTCTCGCAGGCACTGATGAGATGGCAGTCATCGACGTCCTCTCACACCGTACTATTGCCCAGCGGCAGCGCATCAAAGAGGCCTTCAAACAAGCAGTCGGGAAGGTGAGAGTTTTGAATGTTGTACTCAGAGGGACTGACTTATTTCTAATTGTGAATGAAACAGTTCTTAAAAGTCATAAATTACTGTACATGAAGCAGAGAAAGAAAAAGAAATGACCAAACACGAGAAGAATCTGAGAAGCAGACTCCTGGCAGCAGCAGTGCATTTATTATCCCATAGCTTCTTATTCCATTATGCACTCTCTCATCACTTTAGGTGGGGCTGTACTGCGCTAACACGGCACTGATAATGTGTTAGGTAAACATTAACCCTAAAGCAGAAATGAGTATCACCTGTTCTAAAAGAGCAGGACAGAGATAGCCTTGTAATCTGTGGGAAGGGGAAATAATGGCTAACTGGACCTGGAACCCACAGAGGCAATGCATCCATTTACTGTTTCTTTGTTTCGTTATTTTATGGATCAATACGTTAACTGAGGAGGATGGATGGCATGTTTATTGTATTGATGTAATACAGAGTTAATGACCAGCTCGAGAGGCAGTGTCCGCTAAGTGATTGTTAAAGTTATCTGAAAGTTCCACACAGGGAACAGCAGAGAAAAGGCACGGACAGCGAGTGGAATACCTCGCAGTCAGAAAGAGTGAGTCATGTTGCACGAGCTGACGCCCACATGTGGTCACATAGGCCGCTCTTGTGGAACAGCTTCTCTATTCAAAAAGACTGAAACTAAACCCAACTAAACCCATACAAGACAAAGCGCTCTATTCTATATGATATGTCCACAAATTCTGCTCATGAAGATTCTTACTGTCAAAGATAATCACATTTCATTCTGGATGATTTCATTGAGGCCCTCAGAATGAGTGTTAACCCATGTGTTCCTGCTCCACCCTGCAGGACCTGGCTGAGGAACTGTCCTCCGAGCTCAGTGGGAACTTCCGGACTGTGGTCCTAGGTCTGCTAATGCTGGGCCCTGTGTACGACGCCTACGAGCTGAGAACTGCGATGAAGGTCAGGGTTTCTTGTCCACTTGTACTTGCTTTAAGAGAAGTCTGGTAATATTTTTCTCAAGGCCATGATCAAGAATTGTCTGTCTAGCTTAAGCTTCTTTTTATTTTGTGCCGCTCCATTGTCTACTAAAACACATCTGAGGGGATAATATCGAATATAGAATATTCCCAGCCTTATCCTCCCAGCAAATATCTCTGTTTATTGATTACACAGATTACCTGCTGTGTATATTCAGTGAAAAGCAACACGCCACTGTATCGTGTTTTAACCAGAGTTCATATTACTTCATCACAGGGGGCTGGGACAGAGGAGGCCTGTCTCATCGATATTCTCGCTTCAAGGACAAATTCTGAAATAAAAACCATCAATGCCTTCTTCAAGAAAGGTAAAAGTGTCATGTCTGCAAATAGAAACTCTGACATCAGATCACGTTATATATATATAGCTCAGAGTCGGCTGAAGCCTATAGGCTGAGTATGACATCTGATATTGTGAACCAGTGATGAAGCATTATTAGAAAACAGTTGATGGGATAAATTATTCATTAGTGCCACTGCTGTGCTCTACGCTCCAGGTTATTGTTTTCTCATTTGTTCTTGTGTTGTTCCACTGACAATGGTTGGCATATTATGTTCAAAGTGTTTTTGCATGCACATGTTTTCACTGATAATAACAATGTTATGAATATTATATGAATATTATTGGAACCTCATCCTTTTAACCAATCTCATAGAAAGTCAAACTGTAATAATTTTTATTTTAATATGCATCAAGTTTTTTTTTAATCTCCCTTGAGCTCATTGTTTTGATTTTAAAGGAGACATATGAGGCTTTTTTGCCTCTAGTGTGCTATAGTTTTTTAATGTATGGTAAAGTTATGCAGATTTAAAAAGTCTGCAGTAAAGGGAGCTCCTCTCCACTACAGAAACTCTGAAACTCCTGAAACGCTCTGTCAGTCGCCCCTCTGATACGTGACGTCACAATGCGTCAGATTTGCAAAACATTTCCACGTAATAACCCAACACTAAAACTGTGAACCTGAATTTGTGCATAATATGTCTCCTTTAATTCATTTTAATGGAGCCAAAGTTTAAGAGAACTGTTCAGGTGCCTCACATTGCTCAAAACTCAACAGGTATTGCTTTACATGCTTTTGATTCTAATTGTGCTGTATGTTTGTGACAGAACATGGGAAAGACCTGGAAGATGTTGTGTGTGGAGACACATCTGGAATGTTCCAGAGAGTCTTGGTCTCTTTACTCACAGTAAGCAAACATCAGGATACAACCCCTCTCAGTTTGGGCCGATGTTTTAATGCCACGTCATCACAGAACATTTTAAATTTAATTAAATTTGATTTGATTTTGAATTGAACACAGAGATTTTTCCCTCTTCTCAAGCAACATTATATAAATTACCTTTTCAAAAGATTCTAAAAATTCATTTGAACACATAAGATGAATTGTGAAGTGTCAACAGGAACTTTTGGGGTGATAACGTGTCTCAATCTCTGTTTGTTTAAGGAAGAGGGAAGAACAGCCTGTTCTGCATCATTAAACTTTATTGCTTATTTGATCTGAAGCTGCAGTGTTTTCTATGTTGCAGGCAGGACGGGATGAGGGTGATAAAGTGGACGAGGCCCAGGCTGTTCTAGACGCCAAGGTAAAGCATCAGTGCTGTAGATGAGAGTGTGTCTTTAATTTATGATCCTGTATGATTTTCATTTTTAAATGATTGTGATTGCAGGAAATCTATGAGGCCGGTGAGGCTCGATGGGGCACAGACGAGGTGAAATTTCTCACAGTGCTTTGTGTGAGGAACCGAAACCATCTGATGCGAGGTATTCTTACTGCATATTGACAAATGCATGCATGTGATTATACTTCCTTATCTTCAAGAGGCAACTGAAATCATGCAGGACACCATGGGGATTTTACTGACCCCTTGTGGGAGTTTTTGGAGCGAACACACTTTTTATCAAAACAACCTTTATGTTAAAAAATAAAACCATCAGAGTGAGACTCGTATGGATTAAATCTTTAATTTAGTGACATTAGATAATTCAACTCTGTTCTTCCTCCCTCAGTGTTCGAGGAGTATCAGAAGATTTCTGGAAGAGACATCGAGGACAGCATCAAGAGGGAGATGTCTGGCTGTCTGGAGGACGTCTTCCTGGCCATAGGTCTGCTTCTCCTTCCCCCTACAAAGAATCAAGTCAGGTTAATTTAAATAGCACAATGAAAACAACAGAAGTTGAGCCAAAGTGCAGGTCAAGGAGAAATGACAAAAGTATGGAGAAAAAATGCTGCAGCAAAAGACTCACAAGATAAAAATAAATGAACAGAAATGTGAGAAATGTGAGGCTGAATTAAAAGCTTAACTAAAAAAATGCAGTGAGACTTAATGTGGGATGAGAGAACATTCCAGAACTAACACGTCACAACAGAGGAAGTGTAATTTCTTGATGAGAAAGAGGAACTAAAAGGAATTGATAAACCTTCATATTAATTAAAGATACAGACATTTCAGTTCACACAGCACACCTGAAGTTACTGTTGTTAGAAGTTATTACATCTAATGTTCTGGGATTTGTTTGTTATTTCCTTGCAGTGAAATGCATGAGGAACAAACCAGCGTTCTTTGCAGAGCGATTATACAAATCAATGAAGGTAAATATTTCATGCTTGTAATAAAGCGACTATA